CCTATCCAGCGCTCTGTCGTCGATACCGCCCACCAGATATTCCCTCATTCCTTCTTACTCACGCCCGACAACGTCCACCTTCCAACCCCAAATGTCACCCCCAAGTGTGGGCCACCACTACGGAAGTCGTACATGCCCGGTCCCGGGGCACCAAGCCCTACCTTGTCCGCCACTGCCACTGCCAATGCCAATGCCAACCAACAACAAACACCGGCAGAGGCAGAGTACCTGAGATTTGACAACAACATGCAAAGGTTCATCGCGCAAGAGATGCACAAACGCTTAAACCCGGGCAGTTTTGGCCTGAAAGGTTTTTTGCTGCAGGCCGTCGCAGCCGGTTGGCATCGGAAAACACCTGCCCAGCTCAAAGAACTGGGTGACATGATCGGACGGGAGCGGATCTTGGTGATGCACGGGACAGAAGACAACATGATCAGCCCGCCCCACGGACGAAAACTGATCGACCGCTTACAGCCGGGTGTCGGACTGATACTAGAGGGCATGGGGCACGTACCCATCGTCGAGAGGTGGGAGTGGTATAATAACTTGATCGAAGAGAGGTGCGCGTTGGGGGAGAAGTTGGATGGGCGGGCTTAGATGTAACACCAGGTCACGGTTGCTTTTCTTCGGATTCATAGAGTACACGATTCACATTCGGAATGGCATGGTATGGGGAATGATACTTAGTATTCGGTTTAATAGAGGGTATGGTTGTTTGGTATCTAATGATGTGCGTACACAGAATGCTACATGCAGCTCTCTATCTGTGCTCAAGTTGGTGAAACCAATCTAGGCTCATTTGTGTTCGACGTCTGCCTCCACTCATGCCGAAGAAGCCTTGTCCATCCATGCCGCCCCCTACCTCAACCACTAACGCCGAGCCACATGATCATGTCATGTTTCCTTCCATCCTTTCCTCCTGTTTCCACGTCATGATGCTACCTAGACTGAGATGTAGCCAAAATTGGTTTTCTGGGTTGGCTTTAGCAATAGTGAGCTGCATGCAGCCTCCCATTGCGTCGAAGCTGCGCATTTAGAATGCGACAAAACCGATACCGCTCGAGTTATCCTCGTCTATCCGGTTCTTCTTGTCGACGCCTCCGTGGATTGGGTTGGCCTTGTAGTTGAAGAGGTAGTAGTGAAGCTGGCCGTCTCCGGGACCGAATTTTTGCTGCTCCAGGAAGAGCCCATTGTCCATCAGGGACAGCGCATTGAATACATCAAAGTTGTATCGCTTGGCAAGGATCAAGGCATCGCCGATCAAACTGTTCATGCGGACCTTCAGAGCGCCTCTGTCGACCGGGGTTGTGAGACCGGTCTCGGTAGCGTAGTAAAAGAGATACGCGGCACGGATGGCCGAGTGCTTCGCGGATCGGATGACTGAAGATTCCAGGCAGTAAAAGGAGAACATGTCGGTAATCTTGCCGTTGGCGTCCTAAAAGGCACGTTAGTGAAGAGCTACAGGAGCAAAAGACAAGAGACAAAAAACATGCCTCAACGACATAAGCCCACACAACCTGCTCCCCAGACTCAGGCTTATGCACGAGCCAGTGCTCAATCTCTTCCTTGTTAAACACCGGAGCAAGATCGAAGCGGTTAAGGTACCGCGAGAGGAGGTCGTGGACAGCATCCAAGTCCTTCATCTCCATTGGCCGAAGCCCACGAGTTGAGGTCTGGTCCGGAACGGCAAACTTGCGCACCTGGTATGCCGGCTTGCTGTTGTTCGGGCACGGGCTGAAGCCAACCTCGTAGAGCTTCATCCAGTTCAGAGCACGGTGGAAGTAACGGCAGGTGCTCACTGGTCTCGGCAGGACGATGCCGCCAGTGTAGATGGCCTGGAAGACGCCCTCGATATTACACAGCCGTGTGATCTCCTTGATGAGCACTGGTGCCAGTCTCTTCCCTCTAAGTTTCTTGTGGATGCAGAGGAAGTTGACCTCGGAGCTGTGTAGGATGTTGTTGCGGACCCGGAGCTCGACGGGGATAGCTGATATAAACGCGCACAGAGTCTCGCCGACTCTTATACCGACGTGCCACGTCTTCTTCCAGCCTGGAGACATCAGAGACCTGCATAAACACACAAGGTCAATTAGTAACGGCTCCTACGACAAACGCAGAGTGTTAGACCCACCATCTTAGAACCTCCTTGGAGTACTTGAACCGGAACATGGCCTCCTCGTCCTCCACATAGTGTCCGTACAGCAGCTTCTCGACCTCCTCCATCTGCGCGTCGTCTGTGAGATCCATTGTAACCCAGCGAAACTTGTCGATGGCCAACGGCGCCGGCTCGGTGGGGATGTCCTCGACTTTTTGCATCTTGAGAGGTCCCTCCTCAAAGAGCTCTGCCTTCTCCTCGCCGAACTGGGGAACAGGTTGGGTGGCCCAGAACTTGTATGACGCCATATCCTTGCGGTTCTTCCCGCTACTCGCCAAGCCCGTCATGATGTCCTGAAGCTTCAGTCTCTTGAAAGCCTCAATGGCGTCCATCGTGTTTGAGGAGCTGCTGCCAGACAAGAGCTCGTTTGCCAGTGCCGGGTTCAGCGCCATAAATTCTTGGATTTGTTGGGGCGTCAGGCCCGCGATGGCCTTCTTCGGATCTGACTCCGCGTCGGCCGCCGAGCTGCCGCTTAGAAGCTGCTTAAGCTTGTTCCTCTTCTTGTTCTTCTTCTTCTTATTCTTGCCCTTCGACGAGCTCGTGCCATCTCCGCCCGCGACGGAGCCAGCGTGAGCAGTGGTACTCTCGCCCTCTGATTCGGAGTCGGAGTCGGAGTCGGATTCGGCGCTTGGTTGCTTGCCGGCGGCCATGTCAGCGAGAGTCTGCGCGGCCTCTTGCGCCTCTGCCTCTTGGGCGGGGTCGACTTGCTTGGACTCTTCCGACATGGTCGTGATTGAGTTCGGCAGCTAGTAGGAAGCTTCTTCGGAGCGTGGGAGTGCAGGTAGGGAAAATAGGAATGCTTGAGCTAGGTAATGAAGCTAAAGTGTGGAGGTATTCCGGGAGCTCCAGACAAATTTTGGTTTCATATGTAAATCGTGACAGAAAGAGCCAGCAAGCTTGTTCTGCTCTGCTCGGCCGAATGCGGGGCAGCTGCCAGACACACGGCGGGTTCCGCGGGGTAGACTACAGACTACTGCGAGGCCCTGCTGATCACCTAGAGATCTCGCGGCCGGCACCGTAGTTATTCACAATGCACCTTATGGTGTTCACCTAAATCCAGAGTACAGTCTCATGAAAGTTAGACTAACTAATTTTACTATTTCAAAGCTGCCAGACTGAGGAGAGTGCTCGTTGAGTATTGTAACAATGTCGTCCTCTTCAGTTGGGCAGACGCGGGTCTCCATGGGCCCTTGGCAAGAACCTGGAATTTTGGCAGGTTGAATGCACTTCTTGTTAGCGGACATGGATGCTGCGCCACTGCTGCCTGCCGGAATCTGATGCCTGTGAGGTGATCCTGCGCCTCCTTATCCGCGCCTCGACCCTCCCATTGCGCCAAACACATAGTGACTAACAACCAGAACATTTTTGTCAACCTCCGGTTCATGCCTTCTGCAAAGTAGCAAACAATTGTCAGTCATGGGCAAACCGACTCTCCCAGCGCGCAAAGTAAGCAATGACGGTGTGTCTCTGCACACGCAGCCTGGCGAGCACGAGCGTGAGCGCTTCCTGGACGATGATGCTCCTGAGCTTCAAGTAGACGATCTTCCACCGCTCTACGAGGAGGCGGTTGAGGGCAGCAGTAGCAGCGGCCCGCTCCTCCCAGCCGACCCACCACGGCCTGCCGGCCCCGGCGACGTAGTCGATACCTATCCATTCCAGACGGACGCCAACAGCGGCAGCCAGTACTACCTCGATTCACGTCTCGACAACGACCCGAAGCTGCTCGAAAGGCACATTCAATGGTGGGCATTGGTGCCGCCGCGCCCACACGTCCGGCTGATCGGCACGCACACGCAAAATGTATACGACGCGGGCAAGAAGGAGAAAAAGACAGTCACCGACTTCGACATCTTCGTCGAACTCACGCCCTACCTTTACCTTCACGCCAACACCCTGCGTCAACAGTCCTGGCGCGAACTGCGCACCGCGGAGAACGGGGAGAAGGTTCGGCGCGGGACGGTGTTGAGGAAGCGTGCTCCCGGCGCCCGGCAGAGCGTCGAGGTCGGTCTGGCTGACAAGCCGACCCTGGCCGAGTGGTGCCACCGCTACTGCGCCAGCCATGCCGGCCTAAAATGCTTCGCTCTGCGACGCCGCATGGTCGGGTTTGACGAGGACAATGTCCGGCGGAAGCTGGAATCTCTCGTGCGGAGGACCAATTACAGGGGACACCTGCAAATCACGTTCCCCGTCAAGAATGAATGGGTCGAAGTTTACAACGAGTGCAAGACCAACACGTGGCGCCTGACCAACTGGATCTGGTGGCTGTGTGCGTTTAGTCTGATGTTTATCTTCACCTGGCCGTACCTCTTCTTCCGCACCAAGAGGTTCGAGGTCGTCTTTGCCGACTGGCACTTCTCCAGGGTCGTGGAGGGTGGTCGGAGAGACTATGTCAGCATGAGTGAGGACCAGTGGTATAATCTCTGGGGACGCGCCATCAACCGCGCGGTCCTGGAGAAGAGGCAGGGCACGCTTGACCAGCAAGATCTTCTTGCTTCTGAGGGCGCTGAGCCACTGATGGGTGATTCTCTTCAGGATAACGCCATTTCATTTGTCAGAGCTGGAGTCAGCGCCATGAATGAACTGAACCGCCAGTTTGGGTGGGGACATGATTCGTAGGATTGATCAGTCTGTTGGGGTCCTGTCCTACAAAGCTTTGTTTTGCTGCGTTTCCTATCTTTTCCCGGTATTCCTCTCCATAGAATGGTCTAGCCGTGTTCCGTCGTGCGTTCCCTTTGTTGATTCAATCACACATGAAGCATTGTTCACTTCCAGGACGTTGGTACGAGAAGTATTTACATTGATATGTGTGCGAAGGGCAAAATGGGACGCGAACGCTCCTTACGGATGCCCACAATCAGAATCGAACTGATGACCTTATCATTATCCTAGTCGTACTAGTGATACGCTATACCACTTAGCCATGCGGGCTTGTGTATTCAGGTAACCGGATTAGCGGCTTATTTCCGCGCGCCGCACCTGGGGAAAGGACTACCCAGTAGCTCACTTAGCAGCAAGCCAATGCAGTACATCATCTTCCAACCTTAATTGAGTAGATCAATGACGCAGTAGTCCTCAAAGACAGCCGCTCTCATGCGATACCCAATGTACACAGGCATGTTCTCCATCTATGTAAACATTGATCACATCACGGGCTTCGTTGCCTCGTCCAGCCCAAACGACCTCATGACTGACAGCAGCACAGGGGCGTAGTACATGATATCGTTGTGTCCTATTTCTTTTAGTTAGTACTCCATTTCCCGTTCTTTTTTTTTGGTTTGTTTTTTTGGTTTGGCTTACCTCCATAAGGAAACACTTCCTGCCGAACGACCACGTCTCCATCTTTCCATTTCGCCACCCACGCATCTTCCCCCGTATGTGTTGTCCTTTGTTCCTTTTCTTTCTCCATCACCTGCTCACCCATACCCGCAGGGTCTGATAACGTGCCGTTGACGGCGCCAGCAAAGAGCTTGTCGTCTTCATGGAACGGAATATCCCAGTCGTTCTTCGCATGCACTAATGTCAGCCTGAGCCTACCGTTTCTCTGCTTTACTGTACGGACAACCTCCCCCAGTCGTTGGGCGCTCTCCCACTTGTCTACTACGCGGTTGGTAACTTTGCGTAGCAACCACGGCCAAGCGGCCAGCGGACGAAGTACGGGCACCCAGCCGGCAATCGCGTAGCCGCTGAGCATGGTAGGTAAGCTGCTGAAGCCGGACACAAGGATCACGCCGGCAAAGTCCACGCCCTCGTGAGAAAAGTGTTCGGCTACGCCGGACGTAACAGCGGTGCCGAGACTCTGGCCAAGAAGGACGATGCGGCTGCTGGGGATGCCGGCGACTTGCATGGCCCAATCCACGGCTGCGGTGCCATCCAGAATGAGGCCTTGCTCGGTGGGAGAACCGGTGCTGTGGCCAAACCCCCGATAGTCGATTGCCAGGACGTGGGTGGACGGAGAGCCGTCGGTCAAGGCGTGATAGCTGGCGGGCCGGATTGCTTGTGCTACGTGGCCTGCGTTCTGTACACAAAGAAATGTCAGTGGGGGTAATGTTGTTAAAAAAATGGGGGGAGGGGAGACGAGGATGGACGAGGGAAACGAGATAAGGGGGCAAGTGGTTGACAAAAAGGTTGACCAAGCTGTTACCGCCAATTCACGAATAGTTTGGTGAATCAGTGGGTTGGCGGTAGCACCAAACTGTCAGTGGGTTGGCGGTAATGGCTAGGTCTTCCTTTGTGTAACCCACTTGGAGGGAAAACAAGATAAGGGGAGTTTGATGAGAATGTAACGGTGGGGGCGGAGGAAAGGGGGCGATGTTTACTTACCCCGTGAACTGACACATGTTAGACACAGAACGAAAAAGTGTACAAGGAGGGGGGCTTACAGTAAATAACAAGGCGCGCGTTCGGGTCATCCCTGAGCAGCTTGAAGTTGACCGATTGAGTCATCTTATGACAAAACCCGGCATCCTGGGCAGCGAGTTCGGACTCATGCTGCGCGTAGACCTGCAATGGCAGGATGTGCCAGGCATAGAGGGATTGGCCATCGGCCGTGGTGAGTGTAAAAGGGGTCACTTGGTTCTCTTTTATATATCAGTCACTAAAACCTTATATGAGGCGAATTAAATACTGACTGGCGAACCCCCAGTACTCCGGCCGGTTCAGATCATGCCAGAAAAGCGTGTTAAACTTATGGGCATACAGAAAGCTGACACATTAACAGTCAGCTGCGTCAACTCTACTCCCGACCAGCGCTTTCGCATCTTACTGGCGCTGAAAAAACGGAATGGCGCTCAAGCCGAGGAAAGTGAGGTAAAGGCCCAGAGGCGCAGCTACCGCGATGCCTGCGACTAGCCAATGGACCGAATTCGTCATGGTGCTGCCGAGAAGCCTGTCCTGAGGCTTCAGTATGACTGCAAACTGCTTTTACTGGATAAATGCGAAAAAGGGGGGTTTTACGATTGAATGCCTATTTTTATGTATATTAGACCAACCAACGAGTAAATGAACAATCACCAGCAACTACTTAGGGTGTTGTTCGCTCACCAACTGCCCGGTAACTCCTTCCAAGTTTCCTCCCAGACGACAACTGACGTTGGGCCGACGAATGAAACCGCGTGTTGGGAGAGTTAGGGTTGCTATTAGCTTGACAAGGGTCTGACCGCGGAAAAATGCGGTCAGAAGATTGCGGGGCTGTTACTACGGCTAAAAGTCAGTCTAAGGATGCGGCTTATCTCACGCGTCCCACCGACAGTCAGCCGCAACGAAGCTCTGCGCAAGCCTTATGGAGATCTCACGTCTGTCCGTGGCGCAGAACCAGATCGGACACGTGAATGCGCGGAATTGGGCACTAAACAACATATGAATCGACCGATGATTAATAGACTGTAGTGCCCTCACTACCTATGTACTAGAATAGCAAGACCACACTGATGATTCGGACCCGGAAGCCTTGAGCACGAGAACATTCTTGAAGCATTGTGATACGGCAGAAAGGGCACTTCCGGTTTTCAACAGCACCCAATGAGCGGCACAGACCTTACCTTATGCAAGTTTCTGTTGCCAGGGTTTTAGCGCATACTTTTACCTCAAGTGTACCACCGACCCTTGTACCCACCCATTTTATTTGGAGTTTCCCTCATTCCTTCCACGGCCCGCATTTGCATCTTTCACTTGCTACTTCGCCCCGGCCTTGACGCTTGTCCATCGCGTTGGACACGTCTTTGCCTCGCCCGGGCGACTTCTGCTTACTCCTGAACCTCCTGTGACGCTGCGCACGAATACCCTTTTCTTATCGAACCTGGTGCCTCACGAGACACCTCACCTTTTCCGATGAGGTTCTGACGACGCACTTCGCACTGCCCAACAACTGGTTCGCTTGGACGTTCCAATGGAGAAGAAGAGGAAATTGCCAGCTCGCGCGGCTGCGAGAGCTGAGCAGATGGCGAAGAAGAGAACTATCACGCCTCCGCAGAGATCAGTCACTCCGGCAACTGCTCCGGAGCCAGAACCAGAGCCGGTCGTCGAAAAGCCTCCTCCGCCGCCATTGCCGAAGGCGATTACAGCTGGCAAGCCTCTGCCTACGGTGGAAACACCTCAACCAGAGGATCTACCCAGCAGCGAGTACCAGTCAATACAAGAGAGGTGAGCTATTGTTCCGGTCGCTTACTACTAACGTGAGCTTGCATCTGACAATTTCATGCGCCGATTAGTGGTGTTCTCGCCGAGTCACTCGTACGTTCGCGCCTGGCATGGATTACCGACGGCATATTCGAGAGGTACTGGACAAAGCCCACCAAACGGAAGGGAGTCGTGATCGAGGACGCGAAAAATCCGCCAAAAGATAGCATGACCAAGCTAGGTCACGTAACCATAACCGTCGAGCCGCACATTTTCGAGGCAACGATGTATGGCGTGAAGGATCCGAAACCTCCTCCTCCTCCTCCACCGCCCGCAACATTTAGGCCGATTATTCAGTACGGGCCGCCGAATGGAGTCATGCCGCCGCCTCCTCCTCCTCCTCCTCCTCCCGCTGCTCCTGCAGCTCCGCAGACTCCAAAGCCCGCGTCCTCAACAAACACGCCGACTGCAGCAGCGCCGCCGTCACAATCTCAGACACAGCCACAAACCAACGTTCCGAACCAAATACCAGCACAAAGTCAGCCTCCAACACCGACGCAAATGCAAGCCCCGCCCCAGGGACAAACACCAGTCCCGAATCACATGCAGGCACCGACACAGTCAGCAGTGCTATCTCAAGTCGCGTCACAGACACAATTCCAACAGTCGCACCCACCGCCTCCTCAAGCGACGCCATCTACCATACCGGCAGCGCCGAGAACTGCAGCCCCGCCGCGGGGCATGGAGTCGGTCCTTTCAGCCAGTGCCATCAGACCGCAGCCCGCACAGAGGCCTCCCATGGCGACGCCGGTCGTCCATAACCAGCCGCCACGACAACCCCCTCCATTACAAGCACCTGGGCCTGCGCCAGGTCTTCCAGTTGCTGTTAATATGAAGCCACCGGGGGCAGCGCCAATGGTAGCACCAGGAGTGCAACCAGGAGGACCATCAGGGGTTCCGCCCGGTGCGCAGATGGCAAACCCTCAGGCAAGACCCCCAGTAAATGGAGCGCCCGCGCCTGCCGTCTCGGGAAGGCCTGCTCCGGGAACAGATCCCATCATTCTTACGTTAGCAGAGAGGGCAGGAGAGGATCCCCATCTACGAGATCTTATGAAGAAGGTAGCACAGGGCGAAGCGAGCAAAATCGAGCTTGAGCAATTCCAGCGCATTATAGATGCGATCACTGTCGAGAGCAAGCGGAAAGGGCAACCTGTGGGGCCGTCGGCGGATAGGCTGCTGGTGGACGGCAGAACAGTTCGGTATTTCGCCGACGAGGTCCGGGCTATTTTGGACATCGTGTGGAACTCGAATCCAAAACAGACATCTACCGACCTACGGCCACCAGCAGGGAGTGATCCCTTGGTGGTGTTGCTCGTGAAGGCGGCACTAGATGACGTCAAGACACAAGAGCTCGTCAGGCGCATCGCTGAGAACCGGCCGCAGTTTTCGGATGCTACAGATCTCAAGGCTATTCTCGACGAGTTGCGCAGCAAGATCGGCAAGGAGACACATGTACAGTCGCCTGTCGTATCCACGCCCACGAATGGGGTTATCGCAAACGGCTCGGCAGCGGCATCATCACCCACTGTAGCAACACCAACAGCTGCTACTCCACAGCATCATCAGCAAGCCACTCGCTCGAGGGGTCCTCCGCCCCCGGTGAAACCAGACATCTCTGCGGTGGTATTCGAGTTTGCAGGCGGCACAGGTGACCGGTTTCTATTTCCCAAGTTCAGCATACTGGAGTATGTGCCTGTGCCCTCGGGGCAGCAGGTGATTGCATCTTTTCTTATCGTCCGCAAGGGCAGCAAATC